AGGGAGTGAGTGATCTATCTAGTGGTCGAAAGAGGGCCCTCCCAAACCACCAATCATCCCAAAAGCTAACATTTCCCTCACCCAGCGTCCAGAAGATATGCTTCTGAGCATACCTACCAACTCTGGTGAGACTGTCTACTATCTCGATTGGTGGTCGACATCTTGCATAGATGACAAGCACCTCTTGGGCAATACTTCCCGCGGTGGTACTAGGCCCAAAACGACTTCCCCTCCCTGAAATGACACCACATCTTGTAGAAGAAGGCGATGACAATGTCCGAAAACTTTCAGATCCCAAGACCACCCTCCGAAAAAGGGCGACACACGAAGTCCAACTTCACACAGTCGTACTGTCTCCCCCATCTGGAACCCTCCCCATGTCCCCAAAAATAACGGACCACGATCTGATCAAGCTCCTGGAGAGTGGAATGGGGGGGGGGGGGGGGGGAGGGTGTCCATGACCATAAGAAGATGAATCGGAAGGGTGCTGATGGTACTTTTGATCAGCCCGAGCCTACCCCTAAAAAAGAGGTGTCTATGAGACCAACCAGAGATCTGGTTGATCATCCTCTGTCTAACATCTGCAAAGATCTCTCTCGTGAGATGACCCTTGCACAGAGGTGCGCCAAGGTAGGTAATGGGTAGGTTTCCACAAGCGAAGCCGATACGCTCGTGGATCCAATGAGCCCACCGATTTGCGACGTTGGGGGAGAGAATGGAGGTACTCTTTTGCACACTGGCAACCTGACCGGAGACTGAGCTATAATGCTCTAGGATGTGCAAAAGCTCACCTAACCGATTATCATCTGTATGGGTGAAGATAATGATGTCATCCGCATAGGAAAGGTGAGAGATGGGAAGACCATATCCATGAGTGCTGTAGGTCATCCTCGGGTTATCCCGGATGAAGGCGTCAAGACAACGAGAGAGGTAATCCGCCGCCAGAACAAGAAAAGAAGGGGAGATGGGGTCTCTCTGACGTAGTCCCCGAGAGGAAGCAAAGAAATGGGTGGGGCTACCATTAATAAAAATCGAGAACGTGCAATGCTCAACGCACGCCTCCACAAAACTGATCCACCACTCAAGGAAGCCCATCCGGACCAAAGTCTCCCTAAGAAAATGCCGCTCGACCCTATCATAAACCTTTGCCATATCTAGCTTCAGCGCAAGGTCGGGGCACGCAACCGATCCGCATGGGAGGTATCGTGAATCATCTCTTGGGCCAGAAGGATGTTGTCACTAATGACACGTTCCTTGATGAACCCACTTTGGTTCGGCGAGATGAAAGAGGGAAGGAGGGGGGCAAGACGCCCACTGAGGATCTTGGAGATGAGCTTGTTGGTCACATTATCGAGGCTAATATGTCTGTGATCCGACCAAGAGCTTGGGCATGGTTTCTTAGGGATCAAAATGATCGAAGTGGCTGTGAAAGACTCCGGCATCTAGTGCCCAGAGAAGAACTCCAAAACAGCCTCCTCAACATCACACTCAACGACCTCCCAGCAGGCCTGATACAAGAGACAAGAGAAGCCATCCGGGCCAGCGACGCTGTTTGGATCAATCCCAAAAACTGCCTCTCTAACCTTCTCCCTGCTCGGGAGCTCGCAAAGGTTAACCAGGTTGACCGACTGAGGGATGCTAGGGAAGGGATAAGCATTGGGGGGCACAAGCAAGTCCCTGTCAGAGGTGAAAAGGGCCTGAAAGTGCGCCAGGGCCGATTTTCGTATTTGAGACTCTTGATTCAAGGATGAACCATTGTCCTCAATACAATGGATATGCGACCTGACATGCTTCTGTCTCACGAAACCATGAAAGTACTTGGTATTGCGTTCCGCACAGCTATCCAGCGCACGACAACCTTCTGCTTCCAGAAATCCTCCTCCATGACGGATGGAACAGGTACTCAGCGTGACAACGACGCATTACGGTCCTATTCTCTGGAGAGGGATCCAGATCATAAGTCCGCTCAGCGTCAGCAAACGCACACTGAGCCGCATAGAGTCGCTGAGATAGGTCTCCGAAAACCTCCCAATTCCACTGCTTCAGCCTGTGCCGCATCCTCTCGAGCTTGGCCTCCAGGTTGCGCATTCCGAAGAGACCGGTCGGCTGTTGCCACAAAGATTTGACAATGTCCTGGAAAGTGTGGTGGCGGATCCACATGTTCTGGAATCTGAAAGAGGAGCGGCGGGAGGCGCACGAGAAGCAACTCTGGATAAGAAGAGGGGCAACTATTACAAACTACTATTTACCAGACAACTATTTATAAACTGCTAATACAATCCACTAGTCAAATGCACAATTACAATCCATTTTCACTGCTGGTACGCAAAAGATCCTTGACTGGCTCGTTTCGACCTTATCTGGCTCTCTCGCTGGTGAATGATCTTCGAGACCTGCAAAAATCGACAACGGAGGGATTTTTCGGTTAAGAGCCTCCGATGCTTAAGTTAGAGATGTGAAAAAGACGATGAACAATATGTAAGTATATAGCGATGTTGTGATGGGCATGCCTCGCTCCCTTTTATAAGGAGATGTTACCTTGTTGCCCAAGACTTCTCAAGTGAATAAACCAAACAGTTCGTTCGTACTGCCAGAACTGCCTAATTATGTTAGGTCATGTGGTCCTTATCCTGTTAATATTCTTTCTTATCCATTAGTCTGCCTTATTAAACTACCTAATCACGCGACTGCCTAGAATCACCTCGAGTTAGAATGCTGCGTAAATCGATTTGCATATCTTGTCTGGCTGGTCGATTATACGACCAGTTATGCCCTCAGGTCAAGTTTTTACTAGGCCATTTAGGGGCCTTAACTCGGCCTGTTGGTGTGTTTAGACCTGTCATGTCCTCTTCGATTGGAGGACTTCTTGTCTTGTAATAATGTTCAATCTCCGTTTCGACCTTCCTGCATTTCCGTTCGACCAATCGATTTACCCAGCCTAGCCCGCTGGTTTATTGGGTTTGCTTTACTTGGTACGATATCCCATATCAGTTGTTAATACAAACATGTGCTATATTTATATTTTGTTATACATATACACATCAAGCTTGAACTGAGGTAAAATATATTGAGTGATTAAGAGCTATGAAATCTAACACTAGAATATCTAATTAATGTAGACAATTCTATCTTAAAAAGGAAACACGATGAACCATATTTCTTTGAAAATCCACAAGATCCAATTAGCTATTTATTTATTTATTTATTTTTAAATCTTGCCACTCTTTGATGTAAAATCATAGAATTCAGGATACAAAAGTGTGGACCACATTATTTTGATATGATATCATCGTAAAACTAAGTATCTATTTTTATCTGAACCCTTTTCAATTATACTTTATTTTTATTTTTCATTTTTTTTTTTTTGACCTTCCTATGGCTTTTTCATGGCAATCTGATGTAGTGAAATCGTAAACGATTAGGAGAATCAAGAGAAAACTCTCAATACATTTTATTCAATCAAAATTATCTCCCCTTCAAACAATAGAATATGAGTCTTAAATAGATCTCCTAAAAATCATAATGAAATGACTTCTCTACCAAGAAAATGACTAGGATAAATATCTTTCTTGTAATTAAAAATATTTCCTACCAAATTTAGAACTAATAATAATAAAATAAAAAGAATAAATTAATTAAATCAATGATGGAAAAAGATCGTGCTTGTCCAGAAAGACCAACGCAATCTCTTGTCCATGATTCTCCCCTTCCCCCCATGAGAAGTATTCGGCCTCGAATCTGACACAATCTTGTCTCCATCACTGAATCAACATGATGTTGAATATCACTCCATGGATACATCAGTGCAAAACCACTAGTAATCTACATCCCCAATTCTGTCTCTATATTTTTTTCTACAATGCTCCTATCTGGCATGGGAAAGCAACTTGTAGCCTGAAGCTTTTGATGCACCAGCTGTGCGTACATCGCCCTCGACATACTCACCTAGTCGTCAACCACTATCCCCTCTGCTGACCTAATGGGAAAAAACTTTTGCATTTGAGCAACATACGTTATTGTGTCGATAACTTCGTCATCAAAACAAGTCGTCTCCTCGCCATAAAAAGAAGGAGTAGCTTGATATTCAGGCGGCCCCTCGTTATTAAAAAGAGGCGGACCCTCATATTCGATCGATCATTCGTCATANCGAACCCTTATATTCGGTCGACCCCTGCTCATCCAAGAGCTCGGCGGCTCTCAGGCCCCCAAAAAATTCAAGGATCTGGACTCGAAACGATGACATCTAACGTAGATCATCGGGGAACCAGCCCTCGTCCCGCGGCGCAATCGTACTGAACAAATTTACCTCATAGATGGTGTCCTCAAGATCATCGTCACTGAAGAACGACAGTGGTGATCGGGAGCGGAGCGCCCTGCGAGCACCCCGACCATGTCCACCGTGAAACCCCCCGTGGCATCCACGTACTCCATATAGCGCGTAGTTCTTACGATTGTCGATTACAACAGCATGTAGTGCCAGCCTCATGTCCTCGAGCCCCGCGGTCAGATCCGCGACTTGGCGCCCCAACGCCTCGATCGCCACATCGCACCTGTCATCCACAACATCGTTCTGTTTGCGCGACATCGTGTAGGAACCGTACAGACTGACGAAGTGAAAGTGTAAATGATTGGGAAAATCAAGAAAAACTCTCAATATATTTTATTTCAATCAAAATAAAATAGATCTTGTAACAACCCTAACGACATAATTTATCTACCAATAAAATGACTAGGATAATATATTTTCTATAATTAAATATACTTCCTACAAAATCTAGAATTAATAATAAAAAATTAATAAAGGAAATAAGTTAATTAAACCAATATTGGTATGAAACAATCATGCTTGTCCAGAAAAACGAATGATATCAGGTCTCCGTCACAATCAAACCATGTTTTTCTATTACAATCAATCATCTTCATTCATTCAAGTATGACATGTTGATCAGGTCTCCGTCACAATCAAACCATGTTTTGCTATTACAATCAATCATCTTCATTCATTCAAGTATGACATGTTGATGCTTGAGGTTTGGGTTTTTTTTGTTTTTAAACATAGGTTCTAGCCCCATCTTTGGTGTTGCAATCAGTCCTAGCTCTAGTCCAGGTCCCCAGTAGATTTCGGGAGTTAAATCAAAACTTGCGGCAGTGGCTTGCAGTTGGATCCTTTGCTGTACACTCTTGAGCACCAACGAGTCGACCACTACAAAGAAATGCGCATTGCTTCCTCTAGGTTTCGAACTCGTCACACGGAGCTTGCAAGCGAGCTTTTGAAGTCCCCCCTTCACCACTGCGCTACACCCCGGGAGACGGTTGATTTATTTTTCTTGTTTAAAAAGCGTCATCCACCAACGACGCTTTCAATTTAAGAAAGATTTGCCATTTCTTTATCATCAACACAAGCCATGACGTGTCCATAAAACAAAAGTCAGTTCAAAGATGAATTATGAATATAGTGTCAATATATCAATAATTGGAAAGGTGAATGAAAAAAATTTAAGTTGGTTGATTAATTTTGATACTAGGTTATGATCAAGCCCACCTTGTTACATTGCAAAAATTAGTTAAAAGGACATATATAAGACCCGACACCACCCATTTTCATACATTGAGTACATTTTAAACTAAAGGAGATTATTATTAGGAAGAAAAAAAATGATAATGATTATCCATAAATAAAATTATTTTTAGTAAAAATATCCATAATGATGTAAAGTAATAGAACACTTATTTAGTGTCTAGTTATGTTTGGAGAAAAAGTTTTGTCATGTTCGTCTCAGCCGAAGATGATTATATTGTGTAACGTAATACTTTTAACGATGGATGTAAGATAATGATTATATGTGACAATAGTCAATTTTTTGAAATGAATGGTATCAGTTTTTATNTTGATTAGGACCATTCAAGGCCACCCAAAAAGATGCCCTACAAAATTAAATTCAGACAATCTTATTTAGATACACTAGCTGAATTGAAAGCAAACCATGTTGTGTTTCTATGTAACAGGTAAAAAAAGGGCACAATTGTAGTCTTTTTCTCTTTCTTTCTTTTTTTTTTTATCATTTTTTTGTAATTTTCTGTAATTCTTGCATAAATTGAAACATGATTAATTTCAAGCGATCAATTCAGTGTCATCCATTATGGCTAATAAATTCCTACTTCCGAGGCCATTTTTCAACTTTTGCGCATGATGTTGATAAATTATTGTGTAAGATAGTCCAAGCGTTACACAAATTAACATGTCATACTCTATAAATAAAATTGCATATTCATATTATTTAATGCTACACTCATATTTGTATTATTTATATATTTAGTAGTATGACATTTTTAATGAATGCATGTCTATCGGGAAATACAAATTCATGTATGAGACAGTTTAATAGTTTGACTGGTCAATCCATCAATCATTTGAACATAAATGTGTACTTATACTATTAAATGACATACCTCTATTTAAGTAAATGTTTTAAAATGATGAAATTTTGTAATACAAGTATACATATTTATGAAAAGAGTTCGTTTGCCTAATGGTTAGAACGATATAAATATAAGACCAACCGATTTGAAAAAATAGCAACAAACTTAATGGTTACATCATACTAGCAAAAAAACTACCTGATGATCTTATATTACAAGATTGTGTTACAATACATCATATTTTATAAATTGTTTGTTCTTCATATAGAGAGTATAGTAAATCTAAGAAAACTTTATTATGCAGAAAAGGGACCAAAATGCAGCATGATGATAGGAGCAGAAGCATCTATACTTACTGTCTCTTAGTTAAAGAATAATATGGAAGGAAGTATGTAAATTCCAAATGGTTATTTTGGCTCAATGTTATGTGTTGCAGAAAAGTGGTACAGTTTAACTGTATGGACCCCACTGTAGTGGATCCCCTCTATTTTGATTCCATCTGCTAATGAGAAAAAACTCAGACTTATGAACTGTCCAAAAGTCATCTCTCCATGCAGTCTCTTTAACAAATGTACAGAATGTTTCAGTAATTTTTTGAAAATTAGTTACATTACTTTTCCTTTTGACAAAAATGATTGTATTTATTATTGCAATAATTTAGATTATCCATACATGCAAAAGAGATTTTAAAAAAGGTCATTAAATCTTCAATCCCTAAATTCAACTTTCTTGTCATTCCTCAC